AAGCATTTTGTTTTTTCCTTTCCCCTCCCTGAATTAGAGAAGTATATATACAAGATGCAGGACACCAACATCAAATACAGTGAAAACAGGGGTTCTACCATGGGGGAGGAACATACCAAAGAAATAAACAAACAAAAAAATCACATGGTACATTACAAATATGTTAGAAAGAATACAAAAAAAGAAAAAAGATATTTGTGTCCCTATCTTGGCGTTCATTTTGCTTAACAATGTTCCTGAGTCTAAAAGCCACTTGTTAAAAACAAGCCAAAGCCATTTTTCGGAAACATCTAACATCAGGATGGAAACTTAGATGGAATCCTAACTTACTTGTTGTATTAGCCAGCTTTCCCCAGCCATCACAAAATAATGAAGATAGTCAATCCCAGGAGTGCCAGAAACTAGTGACCCAGGCTTCATTTAGCACATGACCTTTGAAGGACATGTAAAGTCAAATCTTAACACTTCTCCTGTGTTTTGAAAATGTAAGTAACACATATATCTAATTATAAGAAAAACAATTGGTATGTATAACAAATACTAAAACACACAAACAAAAAACAACTGTCTGGGTACTACTCAGGAGATTGAGACCTGAGGAATATGGTTCAAAACCAGCTTGGGCAGAAAAGCCTACAAGACACTTATCTCCAGTTAACATAGATCAGGCAGTGGAGCAGTAGCTCAAGTGGCAGAGTGCCAGAATTGAACGAAAAGTTAAGGAACAGTAACAGGTCCTGAGTTCAAGCCCCAATACTGGCGGAAAAAATAAGATAAAGTAATACAATAAAATACAAAATACAATAAATAAAATAAAAAGCACTAAAAAAAATCACTCTGAAGCACAAGGCAGAAGTGGTAAGTTGCTCTTTAACTGTATAGATGTCTACCTGCATCAAAATGGTTTCCGTATTCCTTAGATGAAGAGAACTCACAGCAGGTTTTAAAAGGCTGCTTCCCTTCTGAAAATCATGTAGCAAAACATTATCTATACACTTAATTATATATTTCTATACACTTAATTATACCATTATATTTCATAGAGAAGTTACTTCTTAAAGAACTGAGTTTTAAAACATTTTAGCAATAATTGACCAATGTAACATATGTAGAGAAAGGCTGTACTGGCAAATGCCTTTTAAACTGATGTATAGTGAAAATGAGTGAAAAGTATTTACATTTATGCACTTCCTCACTATACATCTATGCATTTCCTCACTTTTTCTAATGGGACTCAACATTTACGGAAAGGAAGGGCCCATGATGGTAATCATGATTTGGTTTAAAAATCAGGTTTATTTTGTTTAAATTATAAAATTGTAATTTTTTCCTATAAAAATAAGAATGTAAGAGTGTATTTTGTGTGTCTTGGTCACCTTATTCAAACTTTTCTGGAGCCAGCAAATGAACATATTTTATACTCAGTTGAGAGATTTTATCGGTACCCTTAAAGGCAGCAGGGTGCATAATTAGGCATGCCTGCCATCTGTACAGACCTCCAGGTGCAAGATGCATTACCTTTATTTAATATTATCGCAACATTAATTTTACTCCATTAATTTATGTCATTTGTTCTTCATTTCAAACTCAGATTGCCAAAACTATAATATTGGATATAATGATGCTACCAAAAGCCATATAAAGAAAATCTTTACTAACTTCCATTGACACTTTTAATCCTAGGAAGGAATTGACTGGGTGGCTTTTGTTTATGAGTACTATAGACAAACCATTTTGAGTTTAGTAGAACAGATTTTTTCCAGAGAGAAAGCACAGCATAAGATCATCATTTTGGACAGCCCTGGCAAGACACTAACAAATACTGAGTCAACATAATGAGAAAATGTCTTTCAGTTCCTTTGAGTCTAGGAAAGTCTCCGTTGAGTTGATAGCACCACACTGACAATTCGCCACTGTCCCTTTGTGACAAATACAGCAGGCCTCAAATCATTACTCTTGGCAGCCAACAGTATCTTGGTGGAATTTATGAGGTTTTGCTTTATGAGCATTTTCCAGAGTTATTTGTATTGATGGTAAATAGTATTAATTTTCCATGTAAAGTAGTGAGATGTAATTTTCCCTTTATATTTAAAAGATCAGACTATTTAAAGAAAAGTAGTTAGTAGTAGCATGGTTATATGGTAAATATGGTTATATGGTAAATATCATGAAGACTGTAAGCAAAACAATTGGAATTTCAGAACATTTAGTATGAACCGACTTGTAACAAAATTACAAGGAAAAAAAAGATTGTTTAAAAATGACCTGTGAGACTACTGAAAACATTGCTTATATTGCTCTATCTGCAAGGATTACATAAGTCTAATTATAATCACCTTCTTAACTTACTCTGTGCATGGTATAAAAACATTAATACTAATTGATTTTCTGCATCAACCCTTTTTGCTTTCCAAATCAAACCTTTCAAGTTTGACCCTGAAATAAAATACCTTTAGGCTAAAGAAGTTTAGGGAAGTAAGCACTGAATGCCAGGTATTTCAAGGTATATTTAGGGACAAAAGAAATCAGAATTTTTATAAAACAAAATAAATGTTTTCAGGGATGACTATGTTTCCATAGCCATATAAAGATGAAGGGATGTTATCACCAAGTACTCACAAGGAACATAGTCTTCTCATGAAACAACCAACATTAAGAACAAGTTGAGGGCTTGGAAGGTGGCTCAGTGGTAGAGTGCTTGCTTTGCATGCATGAGACCCTGGATTCAATTCCTCAGCACCACATAGGCAGAAAAAGCCAGAAGTCACACTGTGGCTCAAGTGGTAGAGTGTTAGCCTTGAGCTGAAGAGCTCAGGGACAGCACCCAGGCCCAGAGTTCAGGCCCCACTACCAGCAAAAAAAAAAAAGAAAAAGAACAAGTTGAAGTTTGCTCCTAGAAGGAGTCGATTGTCTTCTGATGGTACCACACTTTTGAAAACTTTAAATCTATTCAGTGGGATAAGTCTGAGATTTGCATTCTTGACAGAATTCCTTTTAGGGCTGCTACTGAACTTACAGTAGTTGGATGACAATGAAAATGATCATACTAATAAACACTTTGAAGTGGCGTATTTGAGGGATAAGAAACTGAGATGTAAAGTAAACAAAAATCACTTCAAAAACACCTTTCCCTTCTAGTTTTCACACTCCATTATTCAGAAATTTTCTTGATAGCAACAATTATTTTTCATCTTGAGGTCATGGAGGTCCACTCAGCCTCATAAATAGCTTCATTTAAAGGGGAGGGAAGTTAAAACATTAATTCCTAGGAGACAGAGTTGAGAAACATCTTTGCATGAATCAAATGCATTCCAGTGTATCTGTCAAGCACATGCAACAACACACATGGCTGCTGAAAGCAGATGATGACAGTTTCAACATTCCTACAACCCCAAAGGAGAGTTTCTAGCTACTCTTATCTTCCCCAAAGCACCCCTCATCTCCCCTTCATGCTGTCTGAGATCCCAGAGGAGTGGCACATTATTACATGGCATTCAGACAATAAAATAGCTAGCTGAGCCACACCTCTAGTCCATACTTTTGCTGGTTAATTGGAGATAAGAGTCTCATTGACTTTTCTGATGAGGCTGACTTTGAATTGTGATCTTTCAGGTCCCAAATCCTGAATAGTTAGGATTATAGGTGTGTGCCATTAGGGGCCAGCTGCTGATCCTCCTTCTTTACCTCCTGAGTAGCTGGGATTACAGGCTTGTGGCTTTCATGAGTGGCAGATTTGCTACTTTCCTTACTACTCCTGCTGCTATGAATCAGTAAGTGCTGAAATAAAACACTTCATTATCGCTATCCTTTTGAAGTGTTGAGAAACAGTATCAGAAATCTGTAGCATTTAATGGAACCATTGTATTAAATTTTGGAGCAACCCACTGTCTTTCTGAAACAAGGTATCACCAACTAGTGACTTAAAAGAACAGAAATGTATTCCTTCACAGTTCTGGAAGCAGAAATCTGAAAAGGGCCTAGGGAAAACTTGCTTCTACAGTATAGTTTACTTTGGCTTGTTCTTACTCTGCAATTCATGTGAACTCTCCTTGGGCTCCATATCTCAATTGTTTCTTATGAGGAAACCAGTTACAGGACAGAATCCATGTGAACCTAATACAATCTTAACTAAAATATATCCTGCAAATATCCTATTCACAAATGGTACATTCTGTGATTCCAGGTACACATGAATTTTAGGAGACCACTATTAAACAAGGATGGCTACTTATTGGGGCATTCTCATATATAGTGAAACCTTAGTTGGTTGACTTTCCCCCAAATAATATTGATGGAATCTCATATATATGAATATATTAACATAAATATATCATATATTCATATATGCCACATATTCATATACATATATCCTATATTCACATACATCTATCACATATTTATATGTATATATCATGTATATGTATTTGTGCCATATATGTGGAGTGATAACGTTAATTTGATTGGTTGACTTCCTTCAAGCAGTATTGAGATTGTCATATATATGAATATGTCACATATATAATCACATTCATATATATCACATATATTCACATTTATGTATACAGGATACATCACATATATGGTAACTTTGATAAGTATCACATATGAATACATTAATATGTATTATATACTATGATAGAGATTCATATCTGTTCATATGGGGAGTGATATACTTATGCTTTTTCCATCTGATTTACCTTAGCTCCTTACCAGCCTCAGAATGATTTGATTATTAATGCATTAATAGCAACACAGAAAAATATACCATGTGTCTCCTACAATATAATCTTCCATTATTTTACAGGAGGTGTCTAAATCTTTGCTATTAGAAAACTCTGTGGAAGGGAAAAAATTGAGCTTTTTCGAATAACCCCAAATTCTTCTAATTTCATCTATGGTTAGATACGATGAAAAGCAATTTTAAACAAAAAACATTGAACAATATTATAAAGCTTTTCCCCAAGCAAAAATGGAAGGAATAAAAAAGGCTCCAATTTGTGTGCACTGAAACTTATTTATTGACTTTAATTCTGCATTTATACAAAAATGCTGTAATAAAATATCTGTACACTACTTCTGTTACAAATATAGATAATATTTAAAGCAACTTTATATATTCTAATGTAGGAGTTTCACGCTCTAAAATGGGAATGAACACATGATAATATCTTGCCAGTTGTCTCAGTAAACAGCTCCATCTGTCTCTCTTAGTCTTAAACTATTGTATTATAAACGTTAATATAAAGCAATCAAATGAAGTTATGTTAATTCCGTTCATTTTTCTATCAACTCACTAATCACATACAACCAAAGTAATAACTAACACATTGTTTTTTCATCTGTCATTAAGATCAATACTAATTGAAAAACAATTACACAACATATGAACACATTTTCAGGGTTATCTCAGTTGTTAACATCAGCACTCCAAGATCTTGGCTCCCAAGTTCCTCCATGTTTAGCATTCTTACTTTCTAGAAAACCCATTGTCAACATGGAGTAGCATCTTCATTTACTTACAGCAGTATGAAAATACTTTATAACAGGTTAAAAAACAAAAATAAACATCCACTTGTAAATTAAATATTTTTTTCTAGACAAAATTAGGAAAAGTTCATATATTCACCAGTCCTTCAATCATAGAAACTAATTTTAGCAGAAAACAAGTGTGTCAGAAGTAGGGAGAAGTAATTTTTTGTAACAGGCAATACTTAAAGCTGATAAAAGGGCATTTGAATTTTTGAATATGATTTTTAAAGTTTGCAGTAGGGAAGATAGTTGGATTGGCAAATTGAGGCATTTTTATAAAACTACCCAACATTTTCCCCATTGTTTTCATTTCTCATCCTAATAGCCACTTCTCTTAGCTAGCTTTAGAATTACCTTTTCTTTCTACTACCAAGATGAGCACACAATAATTTCTGTACATGTAAATACAAAGCAGTAGCTTTAATGTAAAACCTATGCAACAATTCCTTTCTTTGAGCTTAGCTTTACAGGAAGCAAGGCGAAAAGAAAAATGACTGAGTTATCAGTGGAGTAACTATTTCCATACTTGGAAAACAACTTTATTATTTTTTTTCCTCTACTATTTTGAAGGCCCATGACTAGAGCATAAGAAATATCATCCCCAAGACCAGCACCAGTCCCCTTACAGTGGGAGGTGACAGAGGTGTTGGATTGGTTCAGTTCTGGTAGTCAATTCAGGAAAGTACCATCAATGTAACAGTGCCCTTTGTCCGTTTAAGGATGGCCACAGCTTCTTCATGGGTTACCCCTTCTAGACTCTGCCCATTGACAGCAATGATCTGATCACCTCTTTTTAGACGGCCATCTTCAGAGGCTGCTCCCTGCAATTATAAAGCAGACTTGTATGTAGAATTACAGCTACACTTAACACACACACACACACACACACACACGCACACACACACAAAAAATATATATGTAAATTGCTTTCATGCATATATAACATTCTGGTACTCCATAGCTACTAAGCAATAATGAACATGCATAAAGGAAGCCTTACTTTTGTTTGTTTATTTATTTATTATTTTGGTGCCAGTACTGGAACTTGAACTCGGGGCCTGGGTGTTGTCCCTTAGCTTTTGCATTTGAGGTTGGTGCTTCTACCATTTGAGCTACAGCTCCACTTTCAGCTTTTTGCTGGTTATTGGAGGCAAAAGTCTAATAGACCCTGCTTCCTGGGTTGGTTTCAAACCACAATCTTCAATCTCAGCCTCTTAAGTAAATAGAATTACAGGGAGCTGCCTGTGCCTGGCTCCTAAATGGTTTTAAGCAGAGATTTCGATTTGGGAGATAATTAAGCAGTGAGCATATTAGCTGGATTGGGGGGGATTAAAACATTAGTTGGTAGAAACTCAAATTAATACAGAATATTTAAGAATTTCCTAACAGAAATGATTTCATAGCATCCAGATTTTCTACCTTGTAAAGAAGACTTACAGAAAGACAAATGATTAAGTATGAACAAAAGCAGTTTCCTAAGACAAAGCATGAGGGTTACAACCCTCAAAGGTTTACAGAAACATGAAGCCATGGTGAATGTCAACCAGGCCAGGATAAGACACAAGAGATGACTTTCAAACCCAAAACTGGGGCTGGAGGTGTAGCTCTAAGCAAAGTGAATACCCAAACCAGTTACTGCGTATTTCTATGGACACGAAGACTAAACAGACTTTACTCTCTTAAGGCATACTTACAGAAGATAATTATGCAATTAAATATAGGATTAAGAATACAGAAAAATTAATGAGTAGTCTATAATAATGCAATTCCTAAAATATGTTCTAACTACCATTCCTTAAATAAACTGTTCCTAGGCTGAGGAAAAGAACTGCTTGACTCTTACTACCGGCAAATGCTGCTTGCATTTTTGACATTCCAATAGCTTGTTAAAATTTTCATAAATTAAGCCTACAGCCAGCTTGATTTAAACATTAACACTTTAAATTGGTTGAAAACAGAACTATTTTTTTCCAGGATAATAGAATGAAACTTCTACTGATTAAAAAATTCAAATTATTGATTTGTTTGTACAGTACTGTTTTGAATCGTTAACCAGGTTTGACATAAAGTGTTGGGTTTTTGTTGTTGTTGTTGCTGTTGTTTTTTGCCAATCTCTGGGGCTTGACCTCTGGGCCTGGACTCTGTCCCAGAGCTTTTTTTGCTCAAGGCTAGTGCTCTATCATTTGAGCCACAGCACCACTTCCAGCTTTTTTGAGTAGTTTATTGGAAATAAGAGTCTAACAGACTTTCTTGCTTAGGCTGGCTTTGAACTGTGGTCCTCAGCTCTCAGCCTATTGAGTGACTAGGATTACAAGCATGAGCCACTAGTACCTGGCTAAGTTTGTTTTCTGATACTACAAAATTCTGAGATTTTAGATTTTCTTCTGTAGGAAATATTGTTCAATTTTGTAGCTCCTAAAATACATGTCAGCAGCATATTATTTACATGGGTTGAGATTATTTTAGTAACATCTTTAGTGTTATTATAACTTTATTCTAAACATTTTTTAAACATTCTAAACATTCTTATGATGGATTAAGTTACTATATAACTAGATGATTATAAGTATATATAAATGTTTATTTTAGCATGAAATCTCTTGAAAATAGCTGATAGATTATAGAGCTTTTGGATACTATATTTATTAGTATTTTTCTCCTATATCCAATGAAATGAAACTTGTAAAATAAATGTTCTGCATTTTATGTATTTGTATATTTTTAAAATTTTTCTATTATGTTTAAGTGGTTGTACAAAGAAGTTCCCATTCTACAAAGTGACAACATTGTCACCCATCGCTCCTAACCACCCCTTCTCTCACTTTTCTTTTCAATTGAAATTAGTTGATTACATAAATTTCACATATTTCACAGTATTGTGGAATAGTGATAGTTAAAGTCACAAACACATTTTAACCTTCACAAGGCAAATTGTCTTTATCATGGTCCATAACGTTTGTGAATTCTATGAGCTTTGACAACACAATTATTTCTTCCATATCAGGTGATATTTACATTTTTTTCCCTTTTGCTTAGTGCAAGCTGTTCCCTCTTTCCTTCTCATTCCTCCCTTCCCATCACTGTCTTTGGGTTGTTTAGTTCATTTTCATCTATGTCCAGTGCAGCTGATGGGCCCCTTTGTTGTATGTTTTCCTGTTTATTTATGTCTATCTGTATATATACATGTATTAACTATGTAGTTATGTATGTGTATATATATGTTTTTTTTTTTACTTCTTGTACCATACCAAGGTCTTGTTAGGCAGGTTCTCTACCAATGAACATGCCACAGGCCCTTTTTGAACCTGTTATTTTTATTTTCTTGTCCAAGCTGGCCTGGACTACAATCCACATTTCTCACTGTAGCTGAGATGCACACTACCAATACCCAGATTACTATGCTGAAATATAGTAAACTTATTCTTTCCAGCCTGTGAGAGCCTTGAATGACCATCTTTCTGATCTCAGCCTCTGAGTAGCTAGGATTATAGGCGTGAGCCACAATGTCCAGCTTCTCTTGACTACTTCATACTCACAGAAAATGTAGAAGAAACAAAATGCTATTGTTTTACAATGTACGTATTTTAAAAGTTCTATTTTCCAAAAGACAATCATGTACAACTTGTTAACAAAATGAAAGAACAGATTTTACTATTTCAGTTCATTAATACTTTTATACACATTGCTAGAAGTGTCTATGGAGCTTCAATTTGAGTCTATTTTCTTTTAAACATAACTAAACCTCAAACTGGACATAAATATTCAATGACTTGATCCTGTAGGGAGTTTAGAAAGCAAAAGATCAACTGGCATTACATCAGGCATAAACTAACAAGCCAGCTGCTGACCACTGTTAATGAATGTTTAACAGGGAAGATAATGGTTAAAATTTGCAAGCTCACCTTTGCAAACACAGTTTTAACATAAATGGGTAAGTCTCCATGAGGGCTGCCATATCCTCCTACTATGCTGAAGCCTAAGCCATCTGGTCCACGGTCTAGGCTAATAGATTTACACTGCGGAGGTCTAGAAGAAAGGGTAGGTAAAAAGAGTTTTGGAAATCAAAGTATATTATAATCCCATATATGTATATATTTACATATACTCACACCTATATGCACACATATAAATGAACCTGTGAATTGCACAGTATCTGACATCTCCCTAGAGCTAGCAGACATCTCTACATTACTGCTAAGGAGTATATTATGGGTAATTGGGTGCTGCTTAAATTGTCAGTATTTGAAATTTACATAATCTAATATGATCTTATTTGGTAATTGCATTACTCATTTTTAGTTGCCTTAAACTAACATACAGCATATTTCTCATGGCCCAGAAAGATCTTTCTTTACCCAGTTTATTTAAAGAGGGCTAAAGTTCAGAAGACTATAACAAAAAAAGTCATAAATGCAAGCATCCCAAGGTCAGAGAGAAAAATCAATGGCAAGCATAGTAAAAGCTTCATCAAATTATAAAATTCTGATATGCTTCTCTTCCTATTTTCTAATGCTTTTTATACTCAGGGTTGTTATCCATATAATGAATACTTCCAATCAAAAGGATAACATTTTATTAAATGAATAATTTAATTACAATGCTGGGAAAAATTAAAGTATGAATGTGAGTTATTCTATGTCACACAGGGTGGTGTGAGGGTAAAATGTACTCTCTAAAAACCAGAGCTGTGAATGTGGGAAGGAGAGTAGAATACGAAAAAGCCTATCTGCATATACCTATGTATTTTGGATTAACTAAATCCATGTTATGGTTATCAGACAGTTACAAGCTCTTGGCTTTTATATTTCATACCTCATCTCCTATTGTTTTACCTTTATATGCGTGCTAGAATGCAACTGTCAGTCAGGAAGATGTGACTCAGAAATAATAGATGATAATATACTGATCATAAAATCTGAGCTCACCCTAAATCATCCTGAAATATACTGCTTGACGTGAGTCCAGTGAAAGAAAGACTTGAATTGACAGGCTCCTGCTGATGCCCTGTGACCACGCTCACATCGCCTCCAGCAACCACCTGCACACAGAGAAAGGGTAAAGGAAAAACCTCATGTGCATATGGCTAGGGCGGTACCAGCCATTCTCTCGAAAACAGTATTTGAACTAAGATGTGTGTTTACCTGTCTACTTAATACCAGGAATGATTAAAATATAACTTTTGAGAAAGAAATTTCACAAGCTTCAGAGGGTGTGTAACTGTGCAGACAGTAAACATATTTTAATCCAATTCTACAGGGTTCTTAGATGGATTTAAAACATGGTCTCATGTGCAATTACTTTTTTTTAAAGATCTTTAATTATAAGCTACTCATTCACAATCTTTACAATTGCAGCAATTAATCATTCACTGCTAAGGCCTATGTTTCTCCCCTTTAGACATAAAAATGTATGAAACAGTAAATACATCAGGATAAAAATGTTACTGAACATGTATCATACATATTTTTGTAGCTCTAATCATTTATGCTCAAGAAATCTATTCAATAAATAATAGCAGGAGACTGAATATGTTTCACTGCTTGAAGATCAAAGCTCATGTATCCTCAAGTAACCTGTATTCTGAACAGTGCTTGGGATTAAAACTGTACCTGTACTTCAATGGAGCCTGAGGCATTTTTCAGTAAACTCACTGCTTGAGTGTGAGTCATTCCTTCTGTGGATGTCCCACATATAGTGACAATCCGATCACCAACCTGTAAGAGAGAGAGATAGAGAGAAAGAAATAGGCATCTGCTAACTCAGAGTGGGACTCTGACACCAGAAAGGCATTTCCTTCTCTACTGCTCACAACACATTTCAACTGCCACCAGCAACTCCGAAGACCAAGAAATCTAAGGGAGAGCCACAAAAAAGAAGTGGTGTATAAAAGATTTCTAGTTTTCAGGATGGGAGAGAGTAAAATTATCTTCCAGTCTCTCCTAGGTAAGTTACCATTTTCTATTAAAATAATAAAATATCAGTGTCATTTGGAAAGCAGAATTTACCTGCATATTGTCACTATAATTGTTAGATGTGACCATAAGTTAGGGGCTGGCAAGTTAAGATACGTAGGTAAAATCTGGCCTACTGCCTTCTTTGGTTAATAGAAGCCTGCTTGGAAGACAGCTGTGTTTATTTGTCTATTTCACAAGTCAAAGCTGAGCAGTTGCAACAGACCAACAGAGTATATGGTTGTCCCATGGAGCCCAACAGTCACTATCTGTCCTTACAGAAAAGTGTGTTGACCCCTGTGGCATGTGTTCAATCAGTTTTTAAGAGTCAGCCATAAATTTAGAAATCAAAAGACACTGACTCATATTCAACCTATACAACATTTAAAGTAAAATAGTCATGTTTGGAGACCTCACTTGAGGTAGAAGGCTGTGGGGATTCTACTTTAAGAAGACTGGGTAGTTTAAAACAATGCGTATATGACTGAAGCTGGGCAGTTAGCATGAGTTCCATCGTATTACTCCAGCTCCGTGGAATCTCTCTGCCTTGAAGCCAGTTTTGAGTAGTTTTACAAGATTCGAAGTCATGTTTACATTAAACTTCGGCAGCATTTGTAGTCAAATGAAAATAAATGATACTTTTCAACTTAATAAAGTCAGAATTTAAGCCAATGAAAAAGTTTCACTTCATCGAGTTGTCTGAAATACTTTATTTTCATTAAACTGGTTTCACAGATTTTTTTTCAATTTCAGACTTGTATATAATTACATTTTAATTAGAATAACCTTCTGTATCACTTTCTCTTTCCCTACTCCCCTAGTGGCTCCAATGAATTTTAAGCATATAACAAAAATATACTGAATCAATTACAAACTTCCTCATTTCATTTACTTTCAAATTTGCATTAAACACCGTTTTCTCTTCTTTTTTCTTAATATTCTTTATCTTTTACTTAAAGCAAGTCCTGGTGTGTCTTAATTAGCTGACATAAAAAGAGATATTCAAATTTGAAACTGCCTTGCAGCAAGTTTTCCAGAGTGAAAGGGTTTAGAAAACCAAGTTCACTCCATTTGTTAGGCTACCATGATTATTGGTAAAACTTACTCTGAGCTTTTGCGTCTGAGCTGCCACACCATTTGGGTGCATCATTGCAATAAATATTGGAACATCCCCTAGAGGGCTGCCCACTCCTCCAGCAATGCTGATCCCCAGTGAATCAGTAGGCCCCTGCATGAAAAACATAGATTTTGGTCAAAGTGCTATTTTTAACTGACATTTTATTTACTCTTTGGCACAATAATCCATCATCCATTCTGATCTTCTAGATGGGAGAGTAGAAAATGCAGCTAAAAACACCCTAATTTATAAAAGAATTTTTTTTATTTGACACAAGTTATTTGTATGATTTAGGAAGGTAAATATCTGTTCAGGAAGCAAAAACAATCAGGACACAAGAAAAAGCAATCATACTGTGGGGCTGATGAAAAGAAAATGAACTTGTGAAGTGAGAAAGACCCCATGTTTGAGAATCAGAGAAGCCTGTGCTCAAATCCAGAAGCTCCACTTACAAATATCCACTCTTCCCCATCAGCTACTGTTTCTCCTTTATAAAACAGGTAAAAGAGCACCTGAGAGAGCTGCCGTGAGCTGATCAGTGCATCATAATGTGCAGTCTCTGGAAGATTGCTCAGGACACAGTAAAGGCTCAATAATTCATAGCCTCTTTCAGTTTCCCCCTTGTACATGGCTTTCGTGGAATTGTTTGAGAAGAACTGGAAAATGCATGTTGAAGTCAAAGCTTATTGACCAATATGAGATGTGAAAGGAAAGGGAATTAGTTCAAGTGCATTTAATATTATTTTTGGTAATATATAATATACATTATATAAATCACTGAATGTATGTATAATATATACATTCCCTGTGTATATATGTTTTATATATCTATATCTATATATCTATATCTGTGAGCTTTCAAATGTGGTATTATGCCTAGGAAATTCAGCAAAGATTACATTGTACAATTTCCACAGTATATACTCGGCATGTGAAGTTTTTCAGATGAGTACTATAAAACAGTAAGATTGTTAATAGGAAAATACAAAACAAGATGTCATGGAAGATACCAGCTTACCTTTTTAATTTCAACTGTTCTTAATCCCTGTATTTCAGATGCTGCTGTAAAGGCAAAGAAGATAAAATATAATTATGAAAGCATTTTTTATCATTAAAATTTTAGTAAATACATGGAGGTAGATGGGATTAAACATATACCATCTTCTGTTTTTATTTTTAAAAGGAAGAATTGTTACCAACAATACACATGATTAGATCTCTGTCACGTACTTGTCCAGGTGTACAGGCCGTATCATTTCTTCTCATTTTAAGCATTGATTATATAACTTTATAATCCACTTAGAATGAGTCAAGGACAGAATGTGCTCTGAATGGAAAGATATGGGTGCAGCTGAGAGGAATAAAGTCATGGATGCATTGAAACAACCCATAGATTTCAGTGCCTAAATTTCTGCAATATTAGTCACACTGCAAACACTGCCATATGGTTAGCTTCTTCTATTTGAACATCTCTAAACCTATGCAACTAAGCTAAAACACCTTCTGCATCTTGGTTTCATGTAATTAAAACACAAGAGGATGCATTCATTTTCTCAAATTTTCAACTAATGGCATTTTTTGATTTACTGGCAATTACACTAAACAAAGAAAAGTAATAAAATAAATCAATTTGCTTGGTAAGAAAAATATGACAGAAACTTGATGATAATGTTTACAAGTATAGATTGCTCAGATTTTTGGTGAATACAAGCTTTTAACCTAGTATATTAGGACATGGAGAAGAGTGTGTGTGTTTTGGAGGAATCGTGTGTGTGTGTGTGTGTGTGTGTGTGTGTGTGTGTGTCGTGTGTGTGTGTGTGTGTGTGTGTGTGTGTGTGTATTTTGGAGGAATCCTGTTGACAGCCAAAATTCAGACAAGTAAGGCATACTGAAAATACTGAAGCAATCTTGAAAAATAGTATAGCAAGCTTACATGCATTCTTCTTTGAGCTACTTTCTGGTGTCTCTGATGTACTTATTCCAGGCAGAGGAACAGTGAAAGATGACAGGCTGCCTTCACTCACCTACAAACATAAAATTCTTTCAGAAAAGTTGGGAGATAATTCCCCCCTAAGTATCATTTATATCTGAATCCAATTGTATTATTGTGTCTAGACAGAAACACTGCTTCACAACAGTGGCACTGGATAATTTGAAGTCCAATTTAAGTTTACTTGTCACTGGTTTTGTTTTTCTTGTTAAGGAACAATTTTTCCAATGTCATAAGTAAATTAAAACTAAATGAAGTTTAGGGACTTTTCACAATTTCATTCAAGCGAATCTCTAACTTTAAACAAATCATGTAAATATTAAAACATAGAAACTTCAGAATTAGGTAACAAGAAACAAATGGTGTTAATGAAACAAGTTAATAATAGCTACTCACCTGGCTACTTTGAGAAGGCCTCCTCTCTGAATGAAATGGGCCAGCTTTCATTCTACCAACTTCCAGGGTCACTGTGCCTAAGGAACACTGTGGAGTGGTTGTTTTACAGAAATGTCTGAATAAAATTCATAATCACCTTTAAGAAAACATTCAACTCTTTGAGTCTGAGCTATTATTTGTGTAAGTCTGTGCCAAGCACTGTCCCTTGTTTTCTTCACTGAAATCTGGTGCTCTACTACTTTAGCCACAGCTCCACTTCTGGAATTTTGGTAGTCAGTTGGAGATAAGAGCTTCATGGATTTGTCTGCCTGGCTTGGCTTTCAGCCATGATTCTCATCTTAGCCTTCTGAGTAGCTAGGAATAGGCTAAGCTTTTTAAGGCATCTTTCTTTTGGAATTTCTGTAGTAAAGGATACCTTTGATCCTTTGTGGAAAATGGCTTTCTAAAGAACTTTAAAAGTAATAATAAGCAATCTCTGTGTCTGTATGAGTATCTCAATAATTTCTAGAGATTATTTCTACCAAGGTAAAGAGAAATTGAGAATGGAACAATCTGTTATGAAATGCACTTAGAAAGGCTGAAAGAACTGAATAACTCAGGGTTTAAAAATAAATAAAAACAATAAAAGCACCATCACAATTTGTTTTGTCTTTATTAGATGATGTACTTGGATAACTGGGCAAAGCCTCTGTTGCCATATTGTAGCTTGGCAAACTTCTACACGGTAGTTAAATATTGCTAAATATACAAAATAATATCAGTACAATTTCACTAAAATCCTTTACCACAGGTAGGCAAGAAATTCCATGTAGCCAAAAACTGAAAGTAGCATGGTGCAGTACTTGAGATCTTGAGCTTTTACAGTCAGACTCACTTGTTTAAATTTAGTCTATGATTTACTAATTGGGTAACATACATTTGTTATTCTTAATATTTTCAAATGTAAGCAATAAGCCAGGTGCCGGTAGCTCATGCCTGTAATCCTAACTAAAGCCAGCCTGGGCAGGGAAGTCTGTGAGACTCTTATCTCCAATAAACCACCAGAAAACCGGAAGTGTTGCTGTGGCTCAAGCAGTAGAGCGCTTGCCTTGAGCTGAAGAGAGCGCAGGGACAGCGCTCAAGCCCAGAGTTCAAGCCCCACGACTGACAAAAAACAAAAAAATGTAAGCAATATAGGATGCTGTGATATGTAAATATTATTATGCAGGGCAGAGTAATAGTAAGATAAACATCAGGCTCTCGCATTACTAAGCTGATCTAATAGAGGGAAGTACTGTACATCTAAAGAGAAGTATAGTATTGAACTGTGTTGCACATGAAACAAATTCTAAAGGCCAATACTCGACTGATATGGGATTTTGTTTTGTTGGTTCCTGGTATTAGTGGCCCTAAACCTAAACTCTTCTTGGACCTGGCCATGTTTTCAATTTTTATAAGAGAGAGGCTAACCAGTCCACATATTAATTACTCACCACTGATTGTTTTCATGTGGTTACAACTCATTGCTTTTAATGTTCTAAGGGGAAAAGAACCATGTAAGGTAATATTACCAGGATAAAAGTCATTCACTATTATCAAAACTATTAAAATGAAATGAAGTATAGAAATGGAGGATAATTGCTACAATGGCCTCATAATTGTGACAAAATTTTAAGATTTTATTTTATGTAGCAGTTTGACACAGTAAATGAAAGTTTTTGTCACATCTTCCCCAATGATAATCTATTTTTTTCATATTAGTACTTGTTCTGAACATCATTCTAAGCAGCTACATGTTTGTCAGGCCACATTAAAATATACACCAAAGGGCTGGGAAGGTGGCTCAGTAGTAGAGCGCTTGCCTTGCATGCATGAGGCCCTGGGTTCGATTCCTCAGCACCACATAAGCAGAAAATTTTTTTTAAAAAGCCAGAAGTGGTGCTATGGCTCAAGTGGTTGAGCGCTAGCCTTGAGCTGAAGAGCTGAGAGCCAGCGCCCAGGCCCAGAGTTCAGGCCCCACGACCGGACCTCACCCCCCA